CAGAGGATGTCCTGAAGCCAGAAGAGAAGAAAGCAGACCTCACACTGCAGAGAGGACATCAGGCCGCTGCTTGGGCGGTAAGGGCTTCTACCACAGCCTCCTTTTTCACCCAACCTTGTCTTCTTTGGCTTCATGACCTTCAGCAGCATATCCCAATCGCGGATATATGCGCACACCAGGACATTGTGAAGCTAGTGGCAGCGGTGCAATTAGTCTGTCATCTGCAAAATTTGTAGCTAGTGTCATGGCCTCATCGGTGGCATCACACAGACTGCTGTGGCTGCGGCAGTGGCAGGCCGATGTGCGCCATAAGTGGAGACTGGCTTCTGCTCCGTTTAAAGGCAGTTCCCTCTTTGGGGATGTGTTGGATCCCTACCTGGGGGAGAATAAGGAGAAGAGGAAGGTCCTCCCTACCGCACCTAAAAAAGGCTTCAATCGTCCAGCTCCTTAACCCAAGCATCTGTCCTTTTGAGGGCAAGACCTTGGTTCGTCCTTTCATAACCAGGACTGTGGTTCTTCCTTTCGGGGGACTATGGAAACCAGGGATATAGGCAGCAGGGAGAATACTCTGGGCAATGTTCCCTCTAAGGTGCACCGCTGCGCACGTGGCAAGAAAAAACCGTAGTGATTTCTAATGTCACAGGCTCCGGAAGCTGAGGGGCCTCAGTTTTTCTGTCCTGGTTAGGGTTAGAAGGGGGGGCAGTGGCAGGAGCTTACATGGCACGGCCGGTCTCCTAGGCGCCGGCCACGCTCGCTCAAACTACCACCAGTCGTCCCGTGTTCAGCAAAGCAAGCCCGGGGAGGTCCTTTGTGGGCGGTCAGCCCTAGCATGGATCTGCTCCATCTTCGGTTTTTTGACTGGGGGCAGGGCTGCCACTGAAGTGAAGCCCCAAAGCCCCCGCCGCCACCAGAATATCTGCTGCCTTCTCCTCCAACAGCACTGCCGGATTTGCCTCCCGAGGCTGCGGTTGAGGTGAAGCCGCCAAAGCTCCTGCCGGTGGCCCCGCCCGCCAACGCCTCCCCCTCCGCTCGGAGCACCTGAGCTGGGCACCGCGTTACCCCTGCCCTCTCCTCCTCTGCCGTGCTTTTGAGGAGCCATGAGGTGTTTTTTTTTCCTGCGGGGCCGGAGCTGGACGGCAGGTGCGGACCGACCGCGGGAGGGGAAAAGGGCACCGGAGTGCTGGCAAAGGTGAGGTGGCGAGGAGCAACCTGACGGCGGCGTCATTGCGGGAGCCAGTAGGAAGGGAGTGAACGGGGCAGGAGCAGGAAAAAAAGGCCCCATGGCTTCTCAAAAGCACGGCGGAGGAGGAGGAGGCGACGGCAGGAGTAACACGGTGCCCAGCTCAGGTACTCTGAGTGGAGAGGGAGGCAGCGCCGGGCAGCAAATGCGGTGGTGCTGTTGGAGGAGGAGGCGGCAGCAGTTATTCTGCTGGCGGGGGCTCATCGGCATCTTCAGCGGCGGCCCTCCCCAGTGAAAAAACCGAAGATGGAGCAGATCAGGGGTGGGTTTCTCGCCCCGTTCCAACCGGATCGGTTGGAACGAGGCCGGCGGCGTCCGCACGCACGCGGCGCACACGCACACGGTGTCCACGCACGTGGCGTGCATGTGCATGCACGTGGCGCGTGCATGCGTACTAGCGTCTGCGCGATGCTCCAGCTGCTCCTGGAGGATCGCGCAGGCGTTCTGCGCATGCGTG